ATTCGGTCCAAACTGGACGGGCCCCTAGGATTTCTTTTGAATGGCTTTTTCCGCTGACCGGATTTATAGCCTCTGAATCCGGCATTGACTGTCGTATCCTCAGCGTTGTCGCCGTTAATGCGGCGCTTCTGCTTGTTGCGACGCGACCTGCCACTACTGTCCCTAGTATCCGAATTACCAGGGTTCTTGGTCATGTTGTTGCTACGAGCAAGTCAGCTGTCTTCTCCCGCGCAAAAGCGGGTCATGAGTGTCGTGAGTGCTGCCATAGATTTCGGCTTTTCCTGTCCAAGGTGCCGGGCAAGCCACTCGTCACGGATATTGTGCTTGAAGGCTGCTAGGGCCTCAGTGTCCGGACAGTCGACTATTTGATTTTTCTTTGTTAGGAACCGTGTCCAGAATTGCCTAGCCGATTCCTCTGGCTGCTGAATTACGTGACTTAGGTCATCGGCGTCTGGGGGTCGCACATAAGTGCCCTGGAAATTGTCGAGGAATGCGGCTTCCAGGTCCTCCCAACAACTGATTGATCCTATTGGCAAGTTGTTAAGCCAATGCCGAGCTGGTCCTTTAAGCTTGAGTGGGAGGTATTTGATGGCGTGGAAATCATCGCCGCGGGCCATGTGGATATGAAGGAGATAATCCTCGATCCATACCGCAGGATCTGTTGTGCCATCATATGATTCAATGTTTACAGGTTTGAAACCCTCAGGAATTTGATCATCCATTATTTTGTCTGTGAAGCATAGTGGGTGTGCGGCGCCTCTGTACTGGGCTATATCACGATGTAGCTCCAATGAGCTTTGTCTACTGTGTTCGGCCCTGCCGAATTTGTGGCCGGTGTGACGGTTACCGTCTCGAGTCGTGGGGCACCCACGCGATCCATAGATCGATCTTGTTTGCCTTGCCTTGTCCTCCAACATATCTCGCAGGTCCGGCGCATTTTCCCGTGCCTTGATACGGGGTGCGGCTTGAGTGAAGGGCCAAGAGGCCTCTCTGTCGCGGCCACGAGGTGGCCGATCGGCCGTATCAAGTGCAGGTGATGCAGGTTTAAGTGCTTCCTCCTCTAGTCGGGGTAGCAACCTGCACTTTGGGTAGCTCTTGGAGGGACGTTCAAGTTTATGCTCTTCGGCCGCAAGGACTTCAGTCCATCTGTCGACTAGCAAGTCTTGACCAGCTCTAAGCTGTTGCTGTTTTTTCTTGAGGCTTCTTGTCGTGGCCATAAGCCTGCATTGAAAACGCTCTTGCTCGACGGGATCCTCTGGCACGATAAATTCGTCGTCGTCGAGGCTTGCCTCGTCTTCGGAGGGAGGCATATAATTATCATCCTCGACCTCTCTGTTTGCCGCTCTCTCATGAGGGCTGGTTTCTCCATCCTCCTATGCTAAATCTTGCTGGAGGGGGTTTTCTTCGGCACTCTCCGGAGTATTATTGTCTCCCGTGCTGGAATCGCCGTATTTGTTTTGGCGGGATTTTGATCGGCGCCGCTGACGCCGGCGCTTAGGCTGTTTCTTGGAGGGGTCATCCTCCGTTGTTCCATCGACATCTCCTTCTTTTGGGGTGTCCACCATGTATATGTCATATGACGAGGTGGCTTTTCAGGGCCCGATAGGTGCTGGTTCTTCATCGTCTCCTGCATCGGCGTCCATACCGTCGATGTCTTCGGAGTCGAAGTTGAGCATGTCGGTTAAATCGTCGACAGTGGCTACAAAGTGGGTGGTGGGTGGGCTTTGAATTCCTTCATCGTCTGTATCCCAACCTTGCTGACCGTAGTCCGGCCAGGGCTCTCCTGATAAAGAGAGAGACTTTAGTGTCTTCAGAATATTGCCGAAAGGCGAGTGCTGAAAGATGTCCGCGGCAGTAAACTCCATGATCGGCGCCCAATCGGATTCGATCGGCAGGGGCGCGGAGGGTTCGGAGTCTGGAGAGGAGTCCGGCTCCTTGGAGTCATGAGTCTCGCAGAGTGCGGGGCTGGTGTTCGGCGCGATCGCCGTTGGGAGCGCAGCCCCCGAGGCGGTGTCCAACCACCCATCCTCGATCGGCGCAGTTGGCTCCGAATTAAGGGTCGAAGCCGATGCGAGTGCGGCCTCCAGGGCACTGTTCAGCGGCAGAGCTAGATCATGCTCGTCGTGACAGTGCGGCGCGCTCGGCAGTGGCTCGAATCCGTCGAAGATCAAGTCCCCGCGGATGTCAGCCGTGTAGTTTAAACTTCCAAATCTGACCTGACGGCCAGGGGCGTAGCTTTCGATTTGCTCTAGATGGCCAAGTGAATTGGCCCAGTGCGAAGCCGCCGAAGACGAAGATCTGTCCGGGGAGAAAGGTCTCACCCTGGACTGCATCGCTATTGATGATCGTAGGAGCCATCGAGCCTGACGGCGACGACACAGAGGAACTCTCAATGAAAGCACCAATGTCGGTGTCAAAACCGGCGGATCTCGGGTAGGGGGTCCCGAACTGTGCGTCTAGGCCGGATGGTAACAGGAGGCAAGGGACACGAAGTTTTACCCAGGTTCGGGCCCTCTCGATGGAGGTAAAATCCTACGTCCTGCTTGATTAATATTGATGATATGGGTAGTACAAGAGTAGATCTATCACGAGATCGGAGAGGCTAAACCCTTGAAGCTAGCCTATGGTATGATTGTTGTTGTTTATGTTGTCCTACGGACTAAAACCATCCGGTTTATATAGACACCGGAGAGGGTTAGAGTTACACAAAGTCGGTTATAATGGTAGGAGATCTGCATATCGTATGGCCAAGCTTGCCCTCCACGCCAAGGAAAGTCCCTTCCGGACATGGGACGAAGTCTTCAATCTTGTATCTTCATAGTCCAAGAGTCCGCCTGAAGGTATAGCCCGGTTATCCGAACACCCCCTAATCCAGGACTCCCTCGGAGGGGATATCTCTTTGGAAGAAATTTCAACTTCTACATCCTAGGATGCATCCATGCATCATTCATTTAATCAAAGAAGGTTTAAGACAACGGTACCATTGCCAAGGCTTCTTATTTGATTTAAATGTTTTTTATAAAACAAAATTAGAGGACTGTGCCATTTAGAAAATTTCCCTACAAAGCTTGTCTAGTCTATTGACTTGGAACCCATAGAAATTTATGCTTTCCGCAATGATCTAATGATGCATGCAATTTTGAAGAAAAATGAAATCACCGAGCCCAATCTTATATAAGTCTATTGTATCTATGAAATTTATGGTATAGACTTAGTCATCTCGTCTGATTTTTTATGTGTTATTACATATTATAAAAACCAACAACTACCAAGAGTGGACCTTTTGTTCTCGGGCTCCATGGAGTCCGAAATTTTCAAACATTTAAATTTTTACCTTTTTAGTTTTTTAAAAAAATACACAAGTACTTATATATGTATACTAGATGTGTGTACAATTTCATCGCGAAATACGTTTTGGTGTGGGCTGTACAAAAAGAACCATGTACTTTTATAGTGAACAATACATGTGCTAGAAATATGTGATTTAGTCATTTTTGTGTAGCTCACGTATAAATGTATTCCGCCATGAAACTTTGCAGAAAAGTAGTATAGATCCGTGTGTATGCTTGTATTCCTCCATGAAACATAAAATTTTGATTTTTGAACTTTTCAAATAAAGGGTTCCATGGAGCTCGAGCTCCATTAGGCATTTCCGACCGCTACCATCTTACCATACATTTATATGTTTCTAGTTTTCTATAAGCATTTTACACTGCCATGTTATACATTTTCTACATGCATGTTTTTCCCCACTCCCACGATCATAAACGTCCTACTTTAGAAAAATGAATACCATGCCACTTGGTAATGGACAGACGCCTATTTGTAATATAAAAATAGTTTGTCTAATTCACATCTACTCCCTTCCTTCCAGTTTATAAGGCTCAAATCTCAAATCTCATCAACCAAGGCATTTTGTGATTGGAGGAATGTATCTCGTACTTTACAAAACTATCCTAATTAAACTCATGCACTAATTTGGACTAATTACAGTGCATGCATGCTTGACCACTACTCCCTCCGTTCCTAAATATAAGTCTTTTTAGACATTTCAAATGCACTACAACATACGGATGTATGTAAACATATTTTAGAGTATAGATTCACTCATTTTGCTTCGCATGTAGTCACTTGTTGGAATCTCTAGAAAGACTTATACTCCCTCCGTTTCAAAATAGATGACTCAACTTTATACTAACTTTAATACAAAGTTGAGCCATCTATTTTAGAACGGAGGAAGTATTTGGGAATGGAGGGAGTAGATGAGTAGGAACATTACATGCATTAGTGTGTTTCTTTTTAATTCTTGCATGCAAATATTTAATGTGCATTGGAAATTAAAAATAAGATGGAGATGAGCCCTTTAAATTGGAAAAACAAAAAAATTAAGATAGGCCTTATAAATCGAAAAGGAGGGAGTAGATGTTTTCTAAGGACGTATAAAAATTTGCACAGTATAGGTTCTCGCACAAGTTGGAAAACAAAATTGGAAGAAAGACAACCGAAGAAGCCGCAAAAGTCAGCCCATGAACCATGATTTGCATTGACCACGGCGGAACTGACAAACAAGCAGAAATCAACAGCAAAAACATGCAGGAAAGAGGGCACCAATCAAACCAAACCGAACGAGCATTTTAAAAATCGCCCGACGCAGCATTGACCTCGATCGATGCCATAGCCCGGACGCATCCAATTAATACAGCTCTCCCGCACTACTCGTACCCGTACATGGTATTCGCTCCCCTAGTCGTCGTCTCCCCGTCCCGCTCCCCGCAACATGCAAAGCGTTGACGTCCCCCTCGCAGCAACCTCCGTCCGCTGGATCCGAGCTCCCTCCCTCCCTTCCTTCGACCCCAAACAAAAACCCCACCGGACGATCAGGAATCGCTCTCCCCTCTCCACCACCACCATTCCACCAACGACTCCTCACCTTCACCTCTCCTAGCTAGCTAGCTAGCCTCCGCTCGCTTCGGTCCAGCGGCGACGAGCGCGACGTCGGGATGAACGCCGGTGCCCCGCCGGCGCCCGGCCGGTTCACCCCGGGCGACGGCACCTCCGTGGGCATGTTCAGCTCCGACCGCATCGGCGGCTTCGGCTACGGCGTCGGCGTCTCCGTCGGCATCCTCCTCCTCATCACCACCATCACGCTCGCCTCCTACTTCTGCACCCGCGCGCCCCCGCCCGGCCCGGAGGCCGCCGCCGACGCCGAAGGGACGGCCCGGCGAAGGCGGCGTGCGCGGCGCCGCGAGGGCGGCGGCGACAACGATGGCGGCGGGGCAACCGGCGACGACGTCGACGTGGAGCTCGGCATCGACGAGGCCACGCTCAAGGGGTACCCGGAGGTGGTGTACGGCGAGGCGCGGAGGAGCAAGAACAGGAAGCTGGGCACCACCTGCACCTGCTGCTCCGTGTGCCTCGACAACTACGGCGACGGCGACGTGCTCCGCATGCTGCCGGACTGCGGCCACCTGTTCCACCGGGAGTGCGTCGACCCCTGGCTCCGGAAGCACCCGACCTGCCCCGTCTGCCGGACCTCGCCGCTGCCCAGCCCCTTGCCCACGCCCCTCGCGGAGGTCACGCCGCTGGCCATGACGAGGCTGTCCTCCTGACACCACACAGAGGTTCTTGCGTGGTTTTAATGTTCTTGCTCTTTTCTCGTTCCTTTTTCTCTTGTTTTAGAAAATTGGGATTGGTGAAAGAAAAGTTCAGGTTAGGAATCAATTAGAAGTTTCTTTTGTGATCTGGGGTGTAAATCCGGTTTCAGCTTAGTTTCACTTCTGATGGAAATGCAAGTCAGCCTAGCATTCTGTCCTGAATCCTGATACAAATGGTTGAGAGTTCCCCGATCAGAAGTTCAGAACATGTGCTCAAAGAGGGATTATTACTTGACATTAGCAAATTGGGTGTCAATGTCACAATGTAGAGTAGGTTGTCTTGAATATACTGAATCAAATGTTGGGTTTCAAGCTCGAAATGTAAATGCATTCTCTCATTGCCATACACTGATTCGCAAATGCAGCAGACAAGTTCAGAATCAGCGCTTTGGGCCGATTCGATATTCTTGGCTTCCAGTGTCAGTTAGAACATCGAACAGCGATAGTTCGGTATTCAATTTCAAACACCTCCAGCAAGTTGACCAATTTACAATTCCGGCAACCCCCCAAACTGAATCTTTAATATAATCTTGGTCTCTAAGCAAGGTGGAGTACATGCAGCCCCCTTCCCCCCAGGTTTGCAGGGTCAATCATGCGAAAACCCGTAGTTTTCATTGTGCTTTGGAGTAACACAGACACCCATGCGGCTTCATGTTCTACGAGACAAGATATAGAGCAAAATGACAGGCACCTTCGATTCCAGGGCACGCGACTTCTGCCTTGATCCGAACAAAACAATGACCGTCCATTTGAATTTTAACTTATTTTTGTGCACTGATCTGCTGAGAGTCTGGGTGCTCGTTGAATCGTAGGCACTGCATTGGGTTCAGTTTTTACCGGCTGCTGGAGAGAATCAGAGAAGAAAGTGTCGGTTGATTACATTTCAAACGTACTATGGATGAAACACGGCAGAAAATGGTATACAGTAGAGGAGGTACTCCTGTATCAGGATTCGGGCATCTGTGGTGTTATGGTCTGTGATGGTACAGCGTTGAAGAGCTGGATACGCCGCTTACGGTAGATGATTTTAATGGAGACGACTTTCTGCTCTGTGTACTGTTAAGTGGTATCGTAGGCTCGTGGTACTGTTACTGTTAGTGGTCCAGCAATCCAGACGTACAGCCAGCGATTTTTTTAACCAGCTGACGTCGTAGAAAAACGAAGGCGGTCGAAAAAGACCCAGAACGCCCACGTCTGTTTTTAACAAACAGACACCTTGTTCAGAGTTTACAAAGTTTGACTTTGAGCAAAGCTAAAATGCAGATTAAATAAAAACAGAGGAAGTACAATTTTGTCTCTGTTTATTGCAAATTTCAGTACTTCGTTCAGCCCATGCCATTTTCTGTAAATTAGTCGCAAAAAAGACCCGTCGATATATCTTTATGAGCCTTTCAAAAAACGTGGAAATCAAATGCCACAGTTGTCTCACTTCGAACAAGGTGTCATTTTCCTTCCCTGCCTGCAACAAAGGATTTCAATTCCGGATGCAAAAAAAAAAACTCATTGTGCACCGAGATTTCTGGTTACCACGTTAACCAGAAAATACCGAGCGGTTACCAGATGATTTTTTGAATGAAATTCAATGCAACAAAATTTAGTTTAAATTCATTCAAATTCATGAATTAGGTTTTTTTTTTGCTCAGCCAGGCAATTTCTTGTGAGGTATCGGGAATTCACAGTTACCGGGCGATAACCGAGTTTTCCGCCTGGTAACTAGATCTTTGCCTGCAACTTCATTTTTGCAATGTGATCTCCTCTAGTCTATTGGATAAAAACAATTTTTTGATCAACATTTTATCTAGAATCTAAGTACCATCAATATTCATTTATCTACTCCTATAAAAGAGTATGTTCGTGATCTTGCCAGTCATTTCTGACTATCCAATCTACACCTAATATAAGGCATGCGAGACAAGATGCGGTATTTTGCAAAATGACCCCGTGAATCTGTGCCACATTTGCAGAAAACTCGTTAGTATCTCCAAACCAGGCACATTTGCAGAAAACCCCTATAATGACCCCGTGACTCTATGCCCTCCCCCACCTCATCCAAACAAATAGGAGGAATAAAATTTGGGCAAACCCTAACATAATTTTATTGATTTTCTTTCGAGATTATGAACATGTATTCGTCTCCTTAGATCTATTGCCTAGCACACATACTTTGCTAGTAAGCCATAAAATACCCAGAAACCCAGCAATAGCGTGAAAGACCATTCTAATGGAAAACAAGTGTCTTTTTACTAAAAGAAATAAATAGAGAATTGGTCCATGAACCTATTGTTTTAGGACGCCGATAAGTGCCACACGTGTGGGCGTTAGGAAGTCCGCCCATACATTTTGTGTGGTGTATAAGAGGAGCAGCCCACATACCTACGTGTGGGCAAAACAATTAGCGCCCACACGTCTCTTCCCCCCCCCTCCCGATCCCTCTCACACGCGTGCGTGTGGGCGAAGTTGATAACGCCCACATGCCCATATGTTAGGCCTCGTACCTCCTGGTCCCGCACGCCACGCGTGACGGTCACCGCGCGCCCGCAGTTGCCATGGTCCAGACCCTCGTCCATGTTCGTTTAATTGCAGTTGCCATGTCGCTGAACTACGGTTGCCATGTCGGACAACTGCAGTTGCCATGGTTGCTCAACTGCACTTGCCATGTATGGTCTGATCTAATGTAGTTGCCATGATTTCATAACTTTAGGAGTTGCCACATACTAACACTAGCCAGTTGAGAGAGTTGACATGTGCTCACAAGCATGTTAGGGCAGTTGTCATGTAAAAATGAAGAGTTGCCATCTGCTTACGTGCACGTTAGGGCAGTTGTCATGTACATGCACGTTAGGTCAGTTGCCATGTACCATGCAAAAACATATGGCAACTCGGTAAAAGAGAGTTGTCATCTGCTTACGTGCACACTAGGCAGTTGCCGTGTACCCTGCAAAACACATGGCAAATTCGGGTAAAAAAAAAGAGTTGCCACCTGTTTATAAAAACACACTAGGGGCAGTTGCCATGTGCAGTGCAAAAACACATGGCAACTAGCAGCTTGGGTGTGGGAGAGGAGAAGGGCGTGTGGGCAAGATGCCAAATGCCCACACACTAGCCCTTGTGTGTGCGTGCAAAGTGGCGTGTGGGCGAACTGCTGAACGCCCACACGCCAGTCCCTCCTGTGTGGTGAAACGGCCGTGTGGGCGACCGGCTGAACGCCCACACACCAGGCCTGTCCTACGTGGCACTAGAAACATGCCAAGATTCGTGCGCTCACGAACGGACGCGGATCCACGCGTGTGGGCGAGATGCAAAAGCCCACGCGTGTGGGCGTTAACATTTCCGTTGTTTTATTCAGCACCCCATTAAGCCTTACGATGCGAAGGTGGTTATATTTAGCTATTTGGTGTTTTTCTTCTTAATACAAAAAAAGGGAGCAACTACGTAGAAGTGTGGTGGCCACAAATTTTGGTCAGCCGATTTGCAGCGCCTGCAGCCCCATAGGCCCACGCAGCGTGTGCAAGTTGAACAATGGGCTTCCAATTAGAATTCAGATAGGTAGGAATCACGGGATATACCAAGTGGTGTTAACAATAATCTCATATACATCATAGCTCCACGACTCAAGTTGAATCCGATCTAAAAAAGACACTCAAGTTGAATCCCAAATATTTTAAAAGTGACAATCTATTTTAAAAAGTATGATTTCGAAACTACCATAAGGATATGGATCTTCAAAGAGATGGTAAAAAAATTATTTTATTTTGACCTCATTGAATCGAACTTTTAAAACACAGATTTTTCTAGGGCAAAAATAGGAATGTCAAGTCATTTATTTGCCACTTACATCCCTAGGCAAAAACACAGATTTTTGTTTGTTTTATATAAGCATGTCAGAAAAACAGGCAGGCTTGTACAGTAAAACTCAACTGAAGGCCTCCACCCGTGTTTTTTTTTTTGTTTTGAGATTTGCCTCCACCTCAATTGCACGCAATGACAATGTCAAGGCCCAAATAGGCCTCCACATACACACACTGCTGCCAACATCTCTCTCCTTGGATTGACCGGCCCCACTTGCTCAGCGACACGACTCGCGTCCACCTGCCTGCCTGCCGGTCTAGTCGCCACACCGCAGAGCTTTGGTTCGCAGCGATGGCGACCGACCGCCGCCTCCGCGACCTGCTCCTCCTCGCCGCGGCGCTCCTGCTCTCCGCCTCCTGCGCCGCCGCCGCCGACTTCGAGTACTGCAGTGAGTGCTCCGAGCTCTCCTTTCGCGGCTAAATCGTCCCCGTTTTGACTTTTGAGATTCCGCGGATTGTGTATGCGATGCGAGCTTCTGTTGGTGTTTGGTTCCGCAGAAAAGGGGCGCCACTATCCGGTGAAGGTGAGCGGCGTGGAGATCGTCCCCGACCCCGTCGTGCGCGGCGAGCCCGCCACCTTCAAGATCTCCGCCTCCACCGGTAAGATTTCGTCGAATAGCCTGAACTCCTTGCGATTTGGCTTGTGAATTGTGGCGCGGTGTGCTCATGACTGCTGTCGGCCAACTTGAATCTACTCCCTCGGTTCCTAAATATTTGTCTTTCTAGACATTTCAAATGACTAGTACATACGGATGTATGTAGACATATTTTAGAGTGTAGATTCACTCATTTTGCTCCGTATGTAGTCACTTGTTGAAATGCCTAGAAAGACAAGTATTTAGAAACGGAGGGAGTAGCTTGTTAGTAGAGTACTCCTTGTTATGGCTTATTGTTGGTAGCAGCCTACTCCAGAGTTTAGATCGGTGTCTCCGTGTGTATGTGGTAGTCAGATCAAATCGATGCACTTTTGCTTGTTTTTTGATGTGTCAATTTTTTCGAGCAATCAAATTAGTGCCCTGCTGAAGGTTTGGCTGGCCCTATCCATGTACTGTTATATGTGAATTAGTCATGTCCGCGGTAACATTTCAAGTTTTCAACCGAATTGGAGTTTTGTGAAGGACCTAATGTGGTGTGTTAGGAACTGAGATTTGGGGAATATGTCTCTTTAGGTGTTTTTGTAAGACTTCTTTGGAGTTTGGACAAGGCAGCTGTTACTGTCTTTCTATATTTTGCACCTGCATGTTTGGATTGTGGAACGTCCAATATTTGTTGGCCGCAAATTGCAGTAATGCGTGCATGTTTATCGGCCTTACTTTCACGACTTCCCTGTGTTTGTCGATGCTTGTATTTGAGTTTGCCAAGGCTTCCTGAGTCTCTTAAAATTCATCTGACATGTCAACCGAAATGGTTTGTAGGAGTATGTCCCAGTTAGTTGTTCTGATAGCCAATAGGTGAAAGAAATGTGAGTTGTAACATGTGTTTCCTGCAAAACACTTTATATATTCCACTTCATAGTTAGTACCATGGTCGCTAGGGCTTTAATATTGAAATTTTTGTGATGTGGATCTGGCAGGGTTTCTGCTGAAATATAGATTCTTTTTGTCTGTTGGGCCTAGTCTATCGTGGATCTGCTACTAGTGTCTGCACACGCACACACACGCATGAGCGGCATGCACCCATATTTCACAGTATTTTTCTGTAACTAGAATGTTTTTTTTTCTAGTTGCTTCCTTGCTCTGAATCTCCCTGATACATTTTTACTATTGTTTACACCTGGCAGATAAAACCATCACCAAAGGGAAGCTGGTGGTAGATGTGTGGTACTTCTTTTTCCACGTCGATTCAGAGACTCACGACTTGTGTGCTGGGACTCCCTGTCCCGCAACGGGCGAATTCGTACTAGCCAGCGAACAGACTTTGCCATCTTACACCCCACCAGTAAGCATACCCGCAGTGCACATTCAGTTTCGGTGCCGAACTTGTCTAGATATTTTCCCTTGTAGTGCTTGTGACAGACAAGGGGCTCAATAGGCCGCTGCAAGTAAGATCACATCTAGACATCCTGACGTTTTGTGTTGCTGTGATGTGCTTCAGGGTTCTTACAGTCTCCAGATGAAGCTGCTGGGAGACAAGAACGAGGAGCTGACCTGCATCTTGTTCGGGTTCAGCATCGGGTTCGTCGCACCTGTCGCCATTATGTGAACCAAATATGTGCCGCGACCCAAACACACCCTTGGTTGCAGTTGCAAAGAGCCACCATGGTCCACGGATGTATGTATGTACCTGCAGAACTCTCTAAAATCTGAATCACCCCGAGTGGGAGAGCATGTGTTGGACTGAGCCGTTTTATTCAGAGTTGCTGCCAGTGCGTGTTTTCTGAGTGTTGAATGTCGCTTGTGTGTGTGTTTTACATGTGTGGTTGGGCTCCGCGGTTGCTTTCGACGAACCATGGGCATTTTGGGTGATTGGTTGGGGCCGGTGCCGCATTCATCCTGTTGTGATGGCCCGACAAGGGCGTCCATCCGTGGAAGACCTGTCGTGGGTTGCTGCTAGCACGCTGTCCACCGAGGCAGAGAAGATAGCGTCGCACTGTGAAGCACCTAAATGCTTTGTCTATGTAGTACTCTGATGAAAGCGGCTCCTTTTTCTTCTGCTCCGATGATTTTGTTATCTCTGATGACTCAGCGCTTAGTTATAATACGCACAAATAGATGTTAAGCATGTGTCCCTACTGGAGCATCAACACTTGTATGCGACAAGAAAGGGTGCGGCGTTGGCTATGCAGTTGTCCTCCTATGGTAGCTAAATACCCGTGCGTCATAACGGAACAATAAATGAAATCTACGCGATATTCCACAACAGCAAAAGGGTAATACATACATAAATACAAATGAAAGAATCGCTATAGTTTGGAACCATGCGTGTTGAGAGCGTGACTCTCGTGTGACGTCAAATAAGTCGTGAGAAACACCGACATCTTCCACATGTTTCCTCCTCTGTCACGACAACCAAGCAAACACAAATCATTCAAACTTGTGGGAATCTTAAAGTTGATAAAACGACAACATCAATCAACTTCCACTGTAGCACAACATTGAGAATTGGGTGGCAGGGTGCCTTATTGCTAGAGGAGAGGGTTTCAATGGCTTTCTATGTTGTGACAGGTGTTGGTAGATTTTTTTTCTCTTGTGTTTCTTTCTGACAAAAAGAACACCGTAACACACCGCCAACAAATTCGCAGCGTGGGAGCAAACAAATGACTTCGGGGAAAATGGACCTTACGTGCTTGTGACACATGAAGGACATAATTTATGTTTTTATGTGATTTTATGAATGAGACGTTAGTTTGCAAAACATACCAAATAATGAAGATATATGCATGATTCATGAAGGAGATGTATATTTATAAGGGCGTTATCTGCGCCGGTGCGCCGGCCCAACAGTTGGCCGGTCAAACGCCAGCCGCACGATGCAGCGAGCCGGGTCCATCTGATCTGGCACTTAACCCCGCCTCATTCTTCTTCCTCCGATCTGGTGATTTGTAGCCTCTCGCTGAACCATCTCCTCCTCTCGCATTGGTCAACGCAAACAGAAATCCCCTCCTTCCTGTTTCCCGCGAGCATCTCTGCCCTCGCCCCCCACGCGCTTGCGCTCCGGCGAGGGGCAACAACACCCCGTCCCCTTGCGCCGCTGCTCGTTGCAGCACCAGCGTCGTAGCCCCCATGCCACCCTTCTGCTGAAAGCTCGTCGTTGCCGCATGTCGTGTCCGTAGCTGACAAACCAGACCATTGCAGCTCTGATGCGGTCGGTTCCAGCGCCATACACCATGATTGGAGCACCACCGGCGTCGTCGCGGCCGTCAACTTGCACAGTCATGCCCAACACAGAAGTCCAAAAGCAACAAAATCCTCTATTTGTCGGTTGAAGAAAAAATTTACCTGGTTCCAACAAAATTGAACACCGATTCTAGCAAAATAACAACTCATCAGCAAGAACTCCATTGACCGATTGTAGCAAAAAAAAAACCCGGTTCCAGCAAAAATGAACACCGGTTCCAGCAAATAACAACTCTTTCAGCAAGAACTCCCGGTGATTGATTGTAGCAAAACAGAGAGCCCGTCCCAGCACCCTGCTACCCCGTTTCCAGCAAAACAGAGAGCTGGTTCTAGCAAAATTTCTTTTCGGTTGTAGCAAAAATCAAACGTTCGATCAGCAAAAAAAGCTTACGGTCTCTAGTTCCAGCATTTGTTAATGTGGATCTAGCAATTTTTTTGCCGGTTGTAGCAAAACAAAAAACCTGTTGTAGCAAAATTACCTATATCGTCGTTCAGTTCCAGCACTGGTCATGTGTGGATGCAGCTTTTTCGCCGGCTGGTTCCAGCAAAAATGATATATGGTTGCAGCACCGGAGCCCGTCATCTTCGCCGCCGACAGCTGCTGGTTGCAGCAAGCATGGTCTCCGGTTCCAGCATCTCGGGACTCTGGTTCCAGCAAAACAAAAGCTCGGTTACAACACCGAAGCCTCTCCCGTCTCCACCTTCGGCGACTGCTGGTTATAGCAACCATGGCTGCTCGTTCCAGCATCGCTGGACTCTGGTTCTAGCGGTGCCGGGCCCATGGGTGGCAAGCTCCTGGCAGGCAGCGCCGCAATCCCCCCTTTGTCTCCCCCAGAGCAGCGCCAGATCCTCCTGCGAAAAAAAGGCAGCGCCCATGGACGGGGGCCTCCCTCCCTGCCTTGCCAGAGAAGGAAAAATAATGGAACGGGGGGACGGCGGCGCAACTGAAGTGTGCCTTGTGGTGGTTTCGCGACAGTGCGGGGAAGGGAGAGAAGAAACATGGCGCGGGAAGGACGCGGCTGAAGGTAGGAGATGGAGTGCACGGGAAGAGGTAAGGCAGGAAGGGGCGGTCCTCACGGCTCCACCGAAATACACGTGTCTCGCGCGAGGGGCTGCTTGAGTGGGCGCACGACGCCAGCGTGGCGCGTGACCGGTCGGGCGTTCGGCCGTCGTTCAGCGTGGTGGTTAGTTCTCGGTCGACCGAGACTTAACCAAGTCTCAATCAAAGTGACATAATATATAAGAAGGAAAAAGAAAACGAAAAGGATATTTTTTGCGCGGATCTTCATGCAAGATCAAACGAATATAGTATCGACTGAGACACAACCAAGTCTTAGTCGGCCGAGACTTAGCAAAACTGATTTGTAATTCAGTAAGAGGATAATTGTGAGGAGAGAATATTTTCAAACGATGTACTCCCTTCGTTCCTAAATATAAGACCTTTTAGAGATTTCACTATGAACTACATACAAATGTATATAGACATACTTTAGAGTGTAAATTCGCTCATTTTGCTCCGTATATAGTCTATTATTTAGAAACGGAGGGAGTATAGTGAAATCCTAAAAAAGTCTTATATTTAGAAACGGAGGGAGTATTGTGTAGTATAGAGAGCAGATGTTGGACGCACCAACGGCGATGATCACTCTCCTTTGCTTTGCTTTGGTCTGGTAGTAAAGATAAACACCTTTCTCATACGTTTGGACTGCACGCTTCGCAAGCAGCTTCCGGCGAGACCGCCCCACGTGCGCTCTGCCGCTCTCCGCTCGTCGCCGCGTCACCGATGACAAGGAGCAACCCCGCCGTTCCCGAGACAAGAGAATCTGCGCGTGCGTGCGTGTATCCCCAGCCAAAACCCGCCGATCCATCCATCCATCCATCCATCCCACGGTTCGAAATTTAAATCCACCCCCTCGCCCATCCGCGACGCCACGCCTGAGCGAGATTAACGGCTCCTAACGACCCGAGCCGAACGTTAAACGGGCCCGTAATCCACCCACGCCCACGCCGCCCGCGCCCTAGCGCACGAAAAGGAAAGAAAAATACCCCGGAAAAAAACAGGAGGCTGCCTGCGAACTACGCGGGCCTCGCAGCGCAAGAGCCCTAGGCAGAAGCGCCCCCCCTTTTCCCTTTCCCCCCACACGACGCCCGCCTCCTCCTCCTGCCTCCTCTCCCTCCCCCGCGCCCCGCCTCCGCGCCGCGCCGCACCGCCCATGGAGCAGGGCTCGTACTCCGGCGCCGGCGGGA